AGCAGATGGCCTTGTACTAGCAACTCTTGCACTAAATGAAGATAAGAACTCCATGTCTTCGCTGGAGCTACAAATTCTTCTTCTTTGATTCGCTATTGTCACAATCTTCTTGCACAAGGTATTCAATCATCAATTCAATTAATGTATCTATGATTTCAAAGCAACCTTATCCTCACAAATGTAACCAGTTGTACCCGAGTTAGCCACTCAAAAAACATCAAGAAGCTCAATTTTTTGAGACGGGGATCTAGAAGGGTTGCAATACCCATCAGTCCTTGGATATCCGACCAATATTTGTCAAATTTGGCTATCATGCTAATCGACATCTCTTCAATCTTTGTACTGCCACAAGTTGACCACTGTATGATTTTCTTCCTAATCTCACAAATTTTTATGAAGTATATGTTGGCAGTAACATATTCAGTTCCAGAAAACAACAAAGTTATGTCATTGAACACTCGAAGCCATTCTACAACATCAGCAGCAAAGTTCTATTCCTCCTTACTAGGCAAACATGTATATTGTTTATCAACATGACTTGGTCTAATGAAAATAGCTTTATAGGAGACTGCAACACTAAGCATCTTAAAGGTTGAATTCTATCTAGTCTTGCAGTCAAGGTTTATCTTATGATCCAAACTAACCTTAACAAACTTAGCTATCTCCTCAAACTTCTCTATTCTTTTTGGTGTTGCTGTCCAATAAGCCACACTTTCACGGATATTCTCAATAGCAGTTTTAATATGTTCTAGACCATCCTTACGGACCCTATGTGTTGTGCGCTATCACTCGTGACCCTGGCGGCTCCACCATATGTGTATCTTGTCTTTGCATGCAAAAAAAATGCATAAATTTCTTAGCAGAAATATGCAACAACGTGTTTTGATGATGTCCAAAGACAACATAATTCTTGAGATTTTAACCCCTATTATTTTTTAAAAAACAAAACATAAAATGTATAGTACTCATATATTAATAATTTTTATTTTATTTTATGGTTAGGAGTTAAATTTTCAAGAGGGTGGTGGGGAGGTCTTTGCACAATCGTGCAATGCACAATACTTGGTGTCAATGGACAAAAGATGCACGTGCAAATGGGAAACGGAAATGGTTTGCTTGTAGCGCGGCTTTTTTATTCCTCGGATCTGTAGTACAAGTTGTAGTATCTGAACGTATAACCAAACACACGCCACACACACACACACACCACTAGGATGTACGCTAGATCTAGAACCTATACTACTCACAACACACGTCTACAAGACATTCACGAAGACACAAGCTTCGATAGTGACGGACGTGTCGCCTCCCCTTTATGCTCCATAGACGCCTGAGGATACCTACACAGAATTTTGGGGAAAACCCCACCTCCCCCTTATGCTCCATAGACGCCTGAGGATACCTGCACAGAAGTTTGGGGGAAAAAACCCCAGGTGACACACCAGTACGCTAGATCTAGAACATATACTACTCACAACACATGTCTACAAGACATTCACGAAGACACAAGCTTCGCTAGCGACGGGCACGTCGCCTCCCCTTTATGCTCCATAGACGCCTGAGGATACCTGCACGGAAGTTTAGGAAAAAAAACCCAGGTGAGACACAAAAGCGCTGAGTGCAAGACTCCAACGCTGGCCGGCGAGAAGCCAGCCACTGGCTCTTGCCACCCGTACTACATGCGGTCCTCTTGCTTGTAGCATTTTCATGTGTAGGAGTAGCAAGCATAATACCAACTAGGGGCAATACGGTCCTTGTGAATGATTCATTCACATTGAGGCTTTTACCTGTATGTTATTATAAAAGTTTGTAATTACTTATAAGCCATTAAAAAGTTTGTAATTACTTATAAGGTTTATACTGGTTCGGGCGGAATGACCCTACGTCCAGTTCGTTGCTGCTGCTTGTGTTACTAGCACTAAAAAGTTCGTAGTAGGGGTTACAAATAGGCGAGAGAGGGACAGGTCCTAAGTCTCTGATAGAAAGAACGAATGGGTACCGAGAGCTCGGTCGCTGCTCGGCTATGTGTTCGAGGTTCGATGCTAGTGGTTTTGATCGTCGACATTGTGCAATGCGTTCCGATCATTGGTCTGATGCTCCTAATGGGACACACTGCTTTACCTTTTATAGGCCAAGGGAAAGCAGGGGTTACCGTGGAGGAAAAAAAGAAGAATCAGAAAGAGAAGAAGTCCTCTAGGATCGCTGGGTCCTTCTTCTCTTCTATGCGGGTCCCGCCGATCCTGTAGACGTCAACAGGGATAGCTTCACGTTGCGGCCCTGTACGTCACTAGTGCCATGTGTAGGCGTCGTCTGTCGGTCATGCCGCTCCACTTCATCCTGGCGGACGTCCTGGTGAACTAACGCACCCGTCAGTGTTCGTACGAGGGTTAGGCAGAACAGCACCGGTTCGTCCGTCGCTGTTCCTAATGTGAGTCCTCAGGTATGGCCTATCACGATCACGGGTTATATCAGGGTGTGTCGGTCACCTCCCTGGTGTCAGAGCTTTGACCTAAGCCCATACGCTTGGTGGACCCGAAGTGGTCGGCGGTGGTATGAGTCTCTGTCGGGCGAGGCAGAGCCCAAACCCAAGGGTCGAGCGAGGCGGAGCCAGCCCTTAGAGATCGGGCGAGGCAGAGCCTGTGGCCTCGGCGTCGGGCGAGGCAGAGCTCGCGGCCTCGGTGTTGAGCGAGGCGGAACCAGCCCTTAGAGGTCAGGCCAGGCAGAGCCAACCCTCAGGGGTCAGGTGAGGCAGAGCCCGCGGCCTTAGGGTCGAGCGAGAAGAAGCCAGCCCTTAGAGGTCGGACGAGGCGGAGCCCGCGGCCTCGGTGTCGGGCGAGGCGGACCAGCCCTTAGAGGTCGAGCAAGGCGGAGCCAACCCTCGTGGGTCGGACGAGGTAGAGCCTGTGGCCTCGGGGTCAAGGCGGGCGGAGCCAACCTCGAGGTCGAGCGAGGCGGAGTCCGCGGCCTCGGTGTCGGGCGGTGAGAGTCGACCCTCGGGGTCCAAGGCGTGGAGCCCATCCCCGGAGGTCGGGTGAGGCGGATCGCATGACCTTGGGGTGGGGCGAGGCGAGCCCGCCCTTAGAGGGCGGGGCGAGGCGTGAGCCCACGACCTCGATGTCGGGGAGGCGGGCCTCGTCCCCGAGGGTCGGGCGAGGCGGATCTCACGACCTTGGGGTCAAGGCGAGGCAAAGCCCGCCTCGATGTCGGTTGGAGCCGTAGTCGCACCTTTTGACCGCTGGATGGATTAACGATAACGATCATTAACCCTCCTCTTGGGTACCCTAGTATTGGTCCCCGACACTAGCTCCCCGTCGACACACCGCTCCCATGACTGTCGCACCGCACCTGCTGCTGGGAGGGCCCCCACGCCTGTGTCGTCCTCGTCTCCGATGACGTGCTATGCTCGGGCTCCTGCTTGGAGAACGCCTTTACCGTGGTGCCGCAGGACCTCCGTGGGCGCGCCGGTGCCATTTCCTAGAGGATCAGCCCCTGCGTCTACGACGAAAGCACCTGGCGCGCGCGTCGATGCGGCTTCAAGGCGCAGTCGTAGTAGTTCTGCGGGCGCTCCGGTGGGATGTGTGACACCCTCGGTGACAATTTGCCGTGGACACCCTTCCCTACCCTCATCGTCATCCTCCGCCGCCGGTGTCGTCATCGAGTAGGCGCGTGTCCAAGGCTTGGATCACGTTCGTCAGGGGGTGATGCACTGATGCTAGAGTCGCTGACGGGGCGGCGCGCCATCTTCAAGTATGCAGAGGGCGGGAGCCCCATGGCCGCTTCTGCACGCTACACAGCCTCGGCTGCTCCACCGTCACGACGCGCACATGCCGTTGCTGGTGCTGCTTTTGGGCGTCGACTTCGATCTCTTGGGCGCCATGGATGCTGGTTTCACGTACTCGGCACTCACAGCGGGCGCCTCCTTTGTAGCGGGCGGCGCGGTGCCGGTCAGTGCCCCTTCTCGCCGGCCTGTGTAGCGCTAGCTGCCCTCCATACGCGGGTTTGGTGGCCGTGGACTCGGCTCTTTTTCGTCACATAACGCGACGAGTTCGATGATCATGGACGCTTTCGGGTGTTATGGGCGAAGGAGCTGTTGCATTTTTTTTTTTTTTAAGGAGTTGTTGCATTGATGTTGAAGAAGTTGTTGACGAACGCGTCGTCACTACGGCCGGCGGGCCGGCTTGCACAGGTGCACGTACGCCTTCCTGGTGACTGAAGAAGCTTACTGCTGCTATTTGCATATACGTGTACATACTTCTATTAGCTTATCGCATACCTATATATACGTACATGATACACACGTGCAACTTGCTGGCACACCTCACGTACGGAGGCGATTAGTTCATGCATCCTGCCTCTTTTCTTTATAGGGCAAATACGTGAATGCTTATGCATTCTGGTTACTAGCTAGCTTCCTGCTAACACTATTTAAGTAAACACTGAAAAAATATTGTGATGTATTTCTCGTTTTTGTCTTTTATCTACAATTTATTGTTGTGATGCCTTATGCTTTATCCGGTAAGTACAAGTACTTGCTTTTGAGGACGATGGTCACGACGCTCCTCGTCCGACCGAAAACGCTCTCTTCCTCCATAGTTAGTTTGATGTCAAAACACTTGTTCAGAAAGTGGCACCGGAGGAAAATGAAACTTCAGCGTGCTTTTCTAGTCTAAGGGCATTTAAGTTTTTCCGTAGCTCCGTTCGACACCGTTAGCACTTGATATGGACGGAATGGTATAGAGAAAAAAAAATAGTTCCGACCAGAGTGACCGATCAAATTTTTTACCGACTCTGGGTAATTATAAACTTTTATAACGATATAAAAGCGTCGTTCACACTAGCACCGTGGACAACAAGAGAGACTCTTCTTCCCTCAGGCCTCATCAGCCTCACCTCGCTCGCGTTCCATTTCCATTTGCTTCGGCTCACCTCAGATCAAGGGACGTTAGGCCACCTGCCACCCACCTCCCTCCCATCCCAGATCCCCCACCCCAGCCCCAGCCATGGCCACCGCCTTCGAGTCCCCGACCTCCTCCCCCGCCGCCGCGCCCTTCCACGACGACCCTTTCCTCCACTTCGACGGCTCGGCCCCCGCCCCCGCCGACGGCTTCCCGGCCTCCCCGGACGCCTACGCGCCCTCCCCCTTCGGCATGCCCCACTCCAACGGCGACCTCCACGACGACCCTTTCGCCGCACCCGCTGACTCCAACGGTGGGCCCATCCTCCCGCCGCCCACCGAGATGGGCCGCGAGGAGGGATTCCTGCTCCGCGAGTGGCGCCGGTATGGTAACGCTTCCCTTCCTCTCGCTTCTGCTGCCCAGATCTGCCTGCCCCCGCTGTCTGCTTACAATAGATCTACACCTCGGGTCGGATCCGATCGTGCCGTGCCGACCTGCCTAGAGTCAGTCTTTGATAGATCTCATCACCTCACAGCTGAATCCGTCGGCACAGACCACTTCATGGCAGTGGCATGCAATTCCGTGTGCTTTTCTATATACCATTGGTGATCTACTCAAAATTCAGTGCATAGGATGTGATCCTCGCTCCGCCTTAGTTTATATACCTTATTAGTTCATTCATCAGATTGCAATGGATCCATCAACCATTTCACGTCTCCCTCATACCTTACCTGCCAGTAATTACCATTTACCAAGTACATGAATGCGTGCTATACAGCTCTACACTCGGAATGGCTTATTATACTGGTTCGTTTTTCTATCATGTTGCGCTTGTATGGATTAGAATTCTACATAAGCGATGAAAATCTAATTCATCTGCAACCTCATTTTGCATTTAGCTAGACTGTGACATGCACATGCTTAAAAAAAGGGGCTAGTGGAATCTAGGATTCAGTTTGTTATAGTAGTTTGTTGTCATTACAGTAAAACACAAATACATCGGGGCTACCTTGCTGCTTTGTTAAACTATATAAGCTTCAGCTTCACTGTTTGTGCATGGTTTGGTCCTACTGTTATTAGTTTTTTTCCCTTATATGCCGAGAAGCTTGCTTTGCCCACTGAACAGCTATGTGTCTTGCCAACTCTATTTTCTGCTTCATAATACACACTAGAGCGTCAGTATTCAACCTTGGAATAGCACAGCAGCATGTTTTAATTTATACCTTCAAGCAATTTCTCGTTTAGTTTATTGTGTGTTTTGATTGATATATTTCTTCACTATTAGTGATCCTGATAGTCTTCCTGGGAGTAAGCCTTGATGTTGTTCTTATTTGTCCCTTGCTGTGTATTATTTTATTTACCTATGTTCACTACTCAGCCTGCATTTCCATAAAATGGCAGGGTAGTCAAGATAGGCACTGTGACCAGTCTTAAATTATGGTTGCTGGTATTCTCTATCTTTCATTCTTCAAAGTGTATGCTAACACCAATGATCAACAGACAAAATGCTATCCACCTCGAGGAAAAGGAGAAGAAGGAGAAGGAGCTGAGGAGCCAAATCATCGTTGATGCTGAAGAGTTTAAGAAAGCTTTTGTTGAGAAGAGAAAGCTCAATGTTGAGACAAGCAAGGGCCAAAACCGTGACAGGGAGAAGGTAGGATTAGGACCCTGTATAATCCTATTTGTCTCTTTTCTTAAGATGAAAACCTGGCTGCTTTTTATTTTCTTATTCTGCTGCTTTGTCGCCAGCTTTTCCTAGCAAACCAGGAAAAGTTCCATGCTGGTGCGGATAAGCAGTACTGGAAGGCGATATCAGAACTTATCCCACATGAGATTGCTAACATCGAGAAGAGAGGGGCTAGGAAAGATAAGGAGAAGGAGAAGAAGCCTGGGATCGTGGTGATCCAAGGCCCAAAGCCTGGGAAGCCAACAGACATGGCACGGATGCGGCAGATATTGCTGAAGCTGAAGCACACTCCCCCACCACACATGAAGCCACCTCCGCCACCTGCTGCAGCCACCGGAAAGGATGGAGCACCAGCTGCTGCTGGAAAGGATGGAGCTAAGCCAGCAGCCCCTGCCAATGGCAGTGTCCCTGAGATGGAAAAGGCCGCTGCGGCGGCACCAGCGCCGGCAGCGGCACCACGAGCAGCAACTGAGCCGATCGCAGCTGCCTAACCTAATCATTTATGGTAGGAGGATGTGAAAAATCTCTTTTTAGAGTTGTTGCAGAGGCGGTGGTGGTGAAACTGAAAACGTGTGAATTTCCGGCATGGTGGAGACATGCACTGTGTATTTGTTAAGGCACCTCGATTCATTTACATTACTATATATTGTTATTGCATTTTGTAGAGAAGGGGCATGTGTATCCTAGTTCATGGTAATAATAAGGTTGTATTAGGAGGATGTATGTTTTGGTGGCTGTATTATGTTTCTTCTTCCAAGTGTTTGGAAATTTTTCTTTGTTATTAAAACTGTTGTATTGTTATGCTACTATCTGCTGCATATATGGAGTATATTTTTGTGCATTTTGATCTATCTGAGCTGGGGATGCTTGCTTAATACTAGTAGTTGTGTATATATATTTTGTTGCGAGTCGTGAGTGGAATAAACATCTCTCTTGTGTTGATTTTCTTCATTCAGGATGGCTCCTGACTGGTTCTTTGTGCTGTTGCGATGCTATGTTTTTCCTCTACTTAAATGAGATTTGATAAATCTCACAAAATCTGCTTGCTTTATTCCAACTTATAGATCATTTTAGCTTTGTTTTAAGCCAAGCCTCTTTTACTTAGACCAAACGTTAAAAAGTACTATATCAACATCTATGTCCTATTTTTGTGGAAGATTTAATTAAGCTAATTTGATACCGTAGATGCTGGTCTATTTTCATATAAGATTATTGGTTAAAGTTGGAGAAATTTGATTTTGAAACAATGCTAGAGTGCTCTATGATTCGAAATTTGGAGAAATTTGATTTGAAATAAATCACTTGGTTGAAACAGTAGCAGATGGTCTTTCACTTGCAGCGGGCAGCTGCAGTGCATACCGTAGATACTCTGCAACAAGAGCCTTTTGCATTTGATCCGTCTATAGTCGATAATGCAAATGGGAGGCCGCTTGACATGCTGCAGTTTGACGAGCATGACAATGGATCCAAGGATGCAGGAACCGGTGCTCAGGCCACGCTGGGGATGGGGATGCTCAGCTGGAGAGACTGGTGTCCAAACACAGGCACCGGCGTGACAGTGTGCAGAATGATGGCCCATTTCAAGGTGGTTCTACTAGGTTTTCCGCCGAATCCATGGAGTCATCTTTGCTGGAGAGGACGCTTGAAATCCGGGACAGGTCCTACAGGTTCAAGATTGAGCGCCGCGGTGACGGTGGTAGCCAGGTGAGTGAAGCACAAGACAGGACTGATGACCGCTTTGTCGATAATGCTGCTGGTTTGCATCCTTTATATGATGAGGAAAGCGCCTCTGCTGATTCGGATGGCGAGGAGTTCAGCCGAAACATCAAGGAAGCTGCAGAGATCTTGAGGAAGGCCAGGGAATCCATGATGGCCATGGCTGACGAAGAGACTGCAGATGCACTGCTGTACAAGTCAGCTAGGCTCCTTTCCACAGCTGTAGCTTTGAGGCCAACAAGCCTGGTAGCAGTGGGTCAGCTAGGGAACACGTACCTCCTCCACGGAGAGCTCAAGCTCAAGATTAGTCGCGACCTGAGGACACTCTTGGCCAACAGCGGTGCTTTTCTGAATGGAAGGGAGCGTGTTTCACGGTCCAGGAAGGTAGATAGGAGAATCTTAAGCAGAGAGAGCATTTCATCTGCTCTTGTCGATGTATGTGAAGAATGTGAAAGCCTCCTTGTTGAGGCTGGCAGAAGCTACAGGATGGCCCTCTCGATTGATTCGGGTGACGTCAAGGCATTGTACAACTAGGGACTGGCACTTATTTCCGGGCACAATTACTTGCTGACATCGGACCGGTATGAGCTGCAATTTTTTTTGGTCAACTGTGATGAATTGGAAGGTCTTGTTTTGTGCTCTAGGAATGCAAACCGCCAATAATCAATATTATCGGATATCGATATTATAGATGCTCAAAACATGAAAGTTATCGCTCACGCCGACTTCTCTATATGGCTCGAGACGATATTAGGGTCTCGCCCGACCCTAAGGCCATGGGCTCCATCTCGCCCAACCTCAAGGCATGGGGCTCCGCCTCGCCCGATCCCAAGGTCGCGGGCTCTGCCTCACCCAACCTCAAGGCCATGGGCTACGTCTCGTGCCGACCCCTTGGTGGCGGGCTCCGTCTCGCCCGACCTAAAGGCCGCGAGCTCCATCTCGCCCGACCCCTTGAGTGCAGGCTCCACCTCGCCCGACCCTAAGGACGCGGGCTCCGTCTCGCCCGACCTCGAGGACACGGTTTTCGTCTCGTCCGATGGGGACCCAAACTGCCGTGAACCACTCCAGGTCCAAGCGTATGAGCCTGGGTTAAAACTCTGACGCCAGGGAAGAGGCGGGCACGCCTCGATGTAACCCGTGGCCATGACGGACTATACCTAGGGATTCACATCAAGAACAGTATCGGACATGCTGGTGTTGTTCTGTTTAATCCTCGTACGGACGCTTACAGGCGCGTCAGTTCACCACGACGTCCGTCGGGATGGAGTGGAACGCCATGACCGACAGATGACGCCTGCGCATGATGCCAGTGACGAACAGGGCCGCGACATGGAGCCGTCCCTGTTGACATTTACAGGATCAGTGGGACCCGCATGAAGGAGAAGAAGGACCCGGCAACCCTAGAAGCCTTCTTCTCTCTTTCGTTCTTCTATTTTTCCTCCTCTGTAACCCGCGTTTTTCCTTTGTCTATAAAAGGGGAAGCAGGGCGCCCTATAGAGGGGGACGAGGAAAAAAGACGAGATCGAAACACAAGAGCACGACACGAGCACACGGCTGAGCGGCAATCGAGCTCTTAGCATCCGTTCACTCCTTCCACCAGAGACTTGGGATCCTCTCTCTCGTCTGTTTGTAACCCCTACTGCAAACCAAGTGTCGATAACACGAGCAGCAGCGAACTGGACGTAGGGACGTTCCGCCCGAACCAGTATAAACCCTTGTGTCCTTTCGAGCACACCATCCGAGCCAGACGCGCAAATACAAATTTACTCGTCGGTGGTCCAAAAACACCGACAGTTGGCGCGCCAGGTAAGGGCTTTTTGCGCGTCTCGATGTCCACATCAGGCTTCGGATGGCTAGTCACGGCGTCAGGTGGATCTCGGACGCGCACGTGCGCTTCGGGAACCTGGACTTCATCATTATGACGGAGGGAGAGCTGGCGCAGGTTCCCGCCGCCGTCCAACCTCTTCACTCCGTCGGCCTCGACGCGATCGCTGAGGCACTTGAGGAGCTGCAGCTGCACGCACCGGAGGTCCGCGCCACCGAGAGCGACCAGCTCCTTGACTTCAATTACGGTAGGCTAGAGCGCTAGCTCGGCGCCTTCCTAGGACCCCGACCGTCCTGGGACGACCTGCACCGTCTTATCTTCTCGTTCGCCAACGTCATGACGCAGCTTGCGGAGGAGAGCCGCTCTTCCCGGAATACCTCATCCGGAGCGCCCCGACAGCGCTCCCGTTTGGTCCGCGCCACGCCGCAAAGACCATTGGCCACCTTATCGCACAGCGCACGCCCCCATCCCCTACGAACGACGGGTTCGTGGGGATGACCGAATACGTCGTGGAATCTTTCCACGACCTTCTCGTGGAAGAATTAGAGTCGCCCTCTGACTCTAACTCCAGCAGGGGGAGCCATCACCCCTTGCGAGAATATTTCATGGCAGGTACCCCCGAGGGATACATCGAAAGCATCCACGAGGGATGGGCTACCCCAACAGACGACCTCGATGATGAGGTCGAGGGGGACACAGGGGCCCCACCTCGCCTGTGGGTAGAGCAGCTGAGGGAGCGGCACCAAGAGCTCGAAGAAGCACGACTCTAGCTCGAGCAGAAACGCGCGGAGCTCGAGCAAGAGATCGAGAGCCACGGAGACGGTGGGCATGTGCGCGCCGTGGCCCGCGACGTGAACCGAAGGATCATCGAGGACGATGAAGCCCTCCCACACTTCACCCGGGCAAGCCAAAACGTTGCTGCCATGGCAGCCTTGCTCCAGGGGCTTCCGGAGCCCACGACACCCGAGGATCATTGGACCCATCGCGAGATTCGCACGCTACTCGAGTGTGCGGCGGCGTAGCAGTCCGAGAGCTCGCTATCCCGACAACGCGAGGTCGACACCAACCAGCGCACGCCCTCGGAGCGACCCGACAGGGACGTCTCAGTCCACCAGGCGCAGCGAGACGGCAAGCCACGTGTCGCGGCCCCGGTGCATGAGCGTCTCAGCCTCCACCATGACGCGCGCAACACACTGGATGCCCGCAGGCGTGCCCGCAGCGGTGAGAGGGATGAGGCTAGCGGTGGCTACCACCCTCGTCGAGGCAGACGCTACGACAGCGGTGAGGACCGAAACCCGAGCCCCGACTTGCCGGGACCTCAGGCCTTTGGCCGACACATCCTCAACGCCGTCTTCCCACTGCGGTACCGACCGCCAACCAACATCCTGAAATACTCCGAAAAAACAAACCCCGGACTATGGCTCGAGGATTATTGGCTTGCTTGCCAAGCCGGTGGAACAGATAGTGACAATTTCATTATCCGCAACCTTCTATTGTTCCTGGCCAATTCGGCGTGAACGTGGTTGGAACACCTTCCGCCCAATCGAATCCAAAGTTAGACGAACCTAAAAGAGATCTTTGTGGGAGCTTCCAGGGCACATACGCGCGTCCTGGGAACCCATGGGATCTCAAAAACTACCGACAGAAGTCTAGGGAAACCCTTCGTGGGTACATCCGGTGCTTCTCCCGGTAGTGCAACGAGCTGCCCAACATCGCCGACGCCGATGTCATATGAGCTTTCCTGTTCGGGATCACCTGCGAGTCCCTGGTTCACAAGCTAGGACGTAAGGGCCCGCGAACCACCAAGGAGCTCCTCGACATCGCCACCAGCCACGCCTCGGGCGAGTAGGCGGTCAGGGCGATTTTCGACCGCTCCAAAGGCAAGGCAAAGTAGGACGAGGACGTCGGCAAAGGCGCCTCCAACCGCCCCAACAAGAAGAAGAACAAGCAGTGACACGAGGGCTGGCTTGTGGCCACTGCCGACCGCAAGGGGGGTCGAAAGCCCACCGAGGGTACCCTCGACCACTTTGAGAAGCTGCTCGAAGGGCCATGCCCGAACCATGTTTTCCCCGTCAAGCACCTATACAAGGACTGCGTCCTCATAAAGCGGTTCTTGTTCGGAGGCTCCAACAAGGGAGAGCATACGAAGGAGCCCAAGCCGGCCGCAGACGACGTCGAGGGGAAGGACGGTGGATTTCCAGCGCTGGATGGCTGCCTCATGATCGTCAGAGGGTCGGTGGCCTATGAATCCAAGCGCCGCCAGAAGCTTGCGCGCCGCGAGGTCTATATGGCCGAGCCGGCCACGCCTTCCTTCCTCCGATGGTCGGAGTCTGCCATAACCTTTGATCGGATCAACCACCCGAAAAGCGTTCCGTAGCCGGGAAGATACCCGCTCATGGTTGACCCAAGCATCGGCACGAAGCGGCTCACTAAGGTGCTGATGGATGGAGGCAGCGGCCTCAACATCATGTACGCTAAAACGCTCGATGCCATGGGCATCGACCGATCACGCATCCGGATGACTGGGGCGCCTTTCCACGGCATCGTGCCTAGAAAGCAGGCCGTACCACTTGGGCAGATCGATTTACCCGTCACCTTCGGGAATCCAACAAATTATAGGACGGAGACCCTTACCTTTGAGGTGGTCGGGTTCCATGGGACCTACCACGCCATTCTGCGATGTCCATGCTACACGATGTTCATGGTCGTCCCCAACTACACCTATCTGAAGTTGAAGACGCGGGGTCCATGTGGGGTCATCACCATCGGCACCTCCTTCCAGTGCGCCTACGAGTGCGAGGTCGAGTGCCGCGAACATGCCACGTCAATTGTCGTCTCCAAAGAGCTTGCGGCCATCAGGGAGGAGGTCATCGAAGAAGCGCCCGACCCCAAGCGGTTCGCCGAGTCTTTCAAGCCTATAGAGGGCGCCAAGGAGGTCCTCATAGACCCTAGCAGTTCCGAGGGCAAAGTGGTGCACATCGGCACCACACTTTCCTCCGAATAGGAAAGCGCGCTCGCCGACTTCCTCTGTGCCAATAGAGACATCTTTGCGTGGAAACCCTCGGACATGCTAGGCATTCTGAGAGAAGTCACCGAGCACGCCTTGAAGATCAGGCTAGGCTCCAAACCGGTGAAGCAGCGCCTGCGTCGCTTCGACGAGGAGAAATGCAGGGCCATCGGCGAGGAGATTGCAAAGCTTTTGGCGGTTGGGTTCATCAAGGAAGTATACCACCCCGAGTGGTTAGCCAATCCCATTCTTGTACGAAAAAAGAGTGGGAAATGGAGAATGTGTGTTGACTACACGGGTCTTAACAAAGCGTGTCCAAAGGATCTGTTTCCTTTGCCACGCATAGACCAAGTAGTCGACTCGACCTCAGGGTGTGAAACCCTTTGCTTCCTTGATGCGTACTCCGGGTACCGTCAAATCGCGATGAAAGAGTCCGACCAGCTCGCGATATCTTTCATCACCCCATTCGGATCGTTCTGCTATGTCACAATGCCGTTCGGCCTGAAAAATGTAGGGGCTATGTATCAGCGTTTTATGTTCAAGTGTTTCGGGGATCTCATCGGGCGAACCATTGAGGCCTACGTAGACGACATCGTGGTCAAGTCCAAACGGGCTGACCAGCTCATAGCCGACCTAGAGCAGACCTTCGCGAAACTCTGAGCAAACATCATCAAACTCAACCTCGAGAAATGCATTTTTGGG